TTCTCCATATTCTGCACCAGGGTGTGTCTGTGCAACCTCTGCATTTCCTGCCACAGCTAATGACTAAACTTCTAGGGGTTGTAAGTGCCTGTGGGCAGCACCAATGCCCAGCTGTTGTACCAGTGTAGTAGAAGGTTCTTTGTGCTCCTGTGCTGGTACTGCCTCCCCCAAAAAGCACAAAACAAGACTCTACCTTCAGGATTTTATTTTTTTATTATGTTTTTTTTTCCTAAAGACTCTTCCCCTGGTGTTAATTTGTGAGCTCCATTTGTGCTCAGCTTGTTACAAACACGATGGCAGGTCTGAGTTTTCTGGCAAACCTGCATATACACATGTACACACACACATACGTATATATAACAAAACTAGCTAAGGAGATAAGCAGGTTTTATCTGCACACCATGATTCTGCCCACAGCACTAAAGAAGATTTCAGTGGACACTAGCTGCCTGCTTTCTCTTAGACAACCCTCTGCCTGAGATGAGAGCTAGAGTGCCTTGACCACACCTGGGTCTCCTCCAGCTGTATCTCTAACTGGACAAACTGGAGGGAGGAGACTGTGCTTCTTGGAGAGTTCTGTGCCAAGAAACCCTCAGAGGTTGTTTACAAATGACTGACATGTGAGTACTTTATGAATGCACCTATCAGCAACCAAGTAGGGAATAGAACCAGGCCATCATCTTAATATAAATGTGATTTGCAAAGAAGCTAGATTAACACCTGTTAAAGTCTTCATATAAAGGACAATAGTCAGCAGACATGCTGTTAGGAGCAACTTCTTAAGTATCACACAATAATCCTGGCTCCTAATCAGGAAGAACTCTGAAGTGAAAAGGTTGGCTTAATGTTTCATTCAGTATCTGCCTTATTTTTTAAAGGAGGAGATGGGGATATAATGATAATGTTGTGTTAGGGAGTAGATTGGCTTTAAGTCTAATATTAATCTAGTCTGGCTAATTTAATTAAATAATTCATTGCAACGTGACTATGAAACAACAGGCAGGAATTTTCAGGATGCAGCACGACAGCCTAGAACAGAAAACATGCCTTTTATCCCTTACTAGCAGAGGAACCCTCTGTCCTTGTGCTGTTGCCATGTTCAGCCATTGTGTGTGGATGCACACACGGATGTCCTGGTGCTCATGGGACACGTTTGCATCCATGGAAGACTCTGCTGTCCTCCCTGGTTCCCATGAGTTCACAGGAACTATGTGAGGGAACCATGCAGTTTATACACAATCACATTTTCACAAGGACTTCCTGTCCCCTGCCACAATTAAGCACCCCCTATAAACAGTGGTCTGGTGACAGTAACCAGGAGAATAATATGAGCCACTTCACCAAAAACCATGAGATTGACATAGATTTTCAGTCCTAGGTCTGCCTCAGAGAGGTACAGGAGACCCAAGACTAACTAATTAGCAGAGCAAGGTCAAACAACAAAAAAATGGGGAGTTTGAAGTTGCTGCTTCAGCCACCA